TTTTTGGGGGGGAGGGGGGCGTGTAAAATTCCTAATTTCTGTTCTGACTCCAAACAATCTCCTTTTTTAAAAAAAGAGGTCTGCTTACTTTGTGTGCTGACCATGACCTGGTCTTCTGTTCAGCTTCCTTTTCCAACCAAATCTTCCCAGTCCCCCCTTTCTTATGGACCAGACTTTTTTAGAGAGAGCGGGAGGAGTGAGGGGGAGATAATAGAGAGAAGCATCCATATGAAAGAGACACATCGATTGGCTGCCTTCCGCACACGCCCAGACCTGAGCCGGGGATTTAACCTTCCACCGAGGTACGTGCCCGGGACCTGGAACCGAACCTGCAACCTTTTGGCACGCAGGCCGGTGCTCCAGCCAATGAGCTACTCGGGCCGGGGCACGGAGGCCAAGGCCGGTGCTGAGGCTGGACCAGGTGAGGGTGCTGCAGAGGGAGTGAAACCAAGGCCCCTGGGGGGTCTGGCGCGCTGCGGGGCTTTGTCCCAGGGCCATTCCGGTGGCGACAAAATAGCCGTCCCTCCCTGTGCCCGGCCCAGCTCCTCCCCTGCCACAGCCGCTCCCTCTGGAGCCAGGATTGCCTTTACGTGTTATTTTTTTCAACCACAGCTGACACACATCGTCATATTAGCTTCAGGTGGACAGCCCGGGGCTTATCTGCACATGCCCCAGTTGGGCTGTCAGTTGCATGTGTGTCTCCCCCCCCCCCCCCACTCCCGTGGTTCAGGGTTCGGGCTTCCTTCTTAGAAGGCCACACGCAAAGGAAAGAGACCAGAAAATATTAATTTGGAAATACTGGGGGCCAGGCGGGAGCCCAGCTCAAAGGGAAGGACTCCGTTTTGCTCCAGCTCACTATCCCTTTTATTCAGGTTTTGGGGTCCACCCACAGCCCTTAGGCGGGCAATTCCCATGACAGAACATGAACAGGATTTACATAAAACTAAAAGGCGGAGACTGCCGCTGTCTAGACAGTGGGCGGTTGGCTCTGGCCTTTCAGAGCTTCAGGGTGGACCAGCCTTCCGGGTTCCTTGTCCACATCTCTCTCTGCTAGTGAGGACATTTATTTTATTTAATCCTCACTCGAGGACATTTTTCATTGGTTTTTAGGGAGAGGAGAAGAGAGAGGGAGAGACATCGATGCGAGAGAGACTTGCCTCCTGTTAGTGCTCCGACCAGGGCCCCAGGCCGGAAGGAGACTGCAACCGAGGTACAGGCCCTTGATCACAATCGAACCTGGGACCCTTAGGTCTGCAGGCAGACGCTCTGTCCAGGGAGCCACCCCAGCGAGGGTGTGCCCTGGCTTTTGTAGCGTTTCCTTTACAGGTTCTCTTAGTTCTACTGCGGCAGGAACGCTGCCATGGCTTGTGGGACATCCCTCAGCTGGCGAGGGGGAGATCGAGGGTTCAAACACAGGGCTGGGACTCAGGGGAAATGACGGCAAACGGTCTGCTTGCCGATCAAGTGGTCCCGGCCCTCCCTCCTGGCAGACGGGGCAGCGGGAATGTGGCGCCTGCACAGCTCGGCTCCAGCCCCTCTGCCCCAGCGATGCCCAGGCCATGGGGACGGGGCTTTCTGGTAAGGGCCCCATACCCTTTATTTTTATTTATTTTTTGTTTTTTGAAAGGAAAGGGAGAGAGAGAGAAACATCAAGGGTGAGAGTCATGGATCGGCTGCCTCCTGCACACCCCGTACTGGGGATTGAGCCCTCAACCTGAGCAGGTGTCCTGAAGGGAAATCAAACCGTGACCTCCTGGTCCCTAGGCTGACGCTCAGTCCCCGGGCCCAGGCAGCCGTGCCTCGCGGGGCCCCTGGCCCAGCCTGGGAAGGGAGAGGGCAGAGCAGTGCGTGTCTCATGGAGGACCAAACGGCCTCAGGAAACAAGGGGCGCCCCCACTTCCCCGTCAGCGATGCTCCCGAAAGGCACCGGGCCATGCGCCTACGTCCTGGGGAGACCGCCGCCCAGAGCGTGGGCTGAGGCCCCGAGGCGCCCCGGGCGAAGGGTGCACAGAGCAGGAACACGATGGGTGCGTGGTGGTGGCCAAGCCCCAGGAAGTGGGTCCCCCGGGGAAGTCTCCCCATTCATTGACGAGGATTGCTGAGAGGGGCCTCCCCGGCACCCCCAGCCTCACACGTGGTCCCCACCACAGCCAGACACCCCGACATGGGACATCTCTTACAGCCGGTGTCTACTCAGCAGGCTTTCCTCCCTCCCCTCCCACTGCCATTCCCTCCTTGCATTGCCCCCGTCCATCTGGTCCATCTGACCCTCTCCCCTCCTTCCCCCGCAGGAAAGGACCCCAGAGGCGAAGGTAAGTCTCAGAGTGGGTAAGAGGGAGCCGCAGGCGCCAGCAAGAGTGTGGTTAGACCGCCAGCCCCCCCAGCCAGCCACCTCTCAGGCTCCTTCCTGCCCCAGGCCGGGCTCTGGATTCAGGTCAGCAGAGCTTCTGCTCCTCCTTCTATGTCCCCGTCCCCCAGCTTCACCCCGGGCCGCGCCCCCCACCCCCTCTTGTACGCGAGAAACATCAGGCCTCCCGGATGCGGAGGGCAGAGCATGCTCGGCTCAGGGACCTGGCTCTGAGGGCTGGGAAAGGGAGCCACCGGCTCAGCTGGGGGGAGGCGTCCCCGCTTTCTCCCTCCCCCATCCCCGTTCTCTCCCCCCCTCGCTTTTGGACTTCACCCCTCTTTCCCTGCCTCCCTGGCCTCCCTCCCCGTCTTCCCCTCCGGGGCTCTGCACAGCTCCTGCCTCTCCACACGCCCCGTGGGCACAGCACAGCCGGAGTCCCGACCTTTGCCTTCTGCCCAGGGTCCGAAACAATGCGAGACACGCCCCCGCCCCCGCCCAGCACCCTCAGGTCCCGGGCGCAGTGGCCGTTGGGTCACCCGGGCGAGTTTAACGGAGCTTAACGGTCCAGCGCGTGCCCAGCGCCCATTGCTGGCGCTGTCTGTTGCCAGGGCAACCGGTCAACGAACCTCCACCTCCCTCCAGCCAGCTCCGCTCACGTGACCAGGGCCTGGAGGATGAGTCTGTCCATTCCCAGCATGCTCCGCGCGGGGCCGGGCCAGGGGGCGGGGCGGGGAGAGGTGTGGCTAGAGGCGGGGCGGGGCCATATAGGAGGGACCAAGGTGGGGCGGGACTAAAGGGCGGGGCCAGGCCAGATAGGTGGGACCAGGCGGGGCGGGACTAAGGGGCGGGGCCAGGGCGGGGCGGGGCAGATAGGTGGGACCAGGCGGGAGCGGGGCCAGGGGCAGGGGCGGGGCGGGGCAGATAGGCGGGACCAGGCGGGGCGGGACTAAGGGGCGGGGCCAGGGCGGGGCGGGGCAGATAGGTGGGACCAGGCGGGGCGGGGCCAGGGGCAGGGCCAGGGCGGGGCAGATAGGTGGGACCAGGCGGGGGCGGGACTAAGGGGCAGGGCCAGGGGAAGGGCGGGGCAGATAGGTGGGACCAGGCGGGGGCGGGACTAAGGGGCAGGGCCAGGGGAAGGGCGGGGCCAGGGGCGGGGCTGGGCGGGAACTGCGGTGGTCAGGTTACCCCAGCAACCTGGGGACTCGGGTCCCGGCAGTGCCTGCTCTGAGGGCAAAGTGAGGGCGAGGGAAATGCTGAGCCAGCGGCCTGCCAGGAGGCAGGCATCCCAGGGGAGGGTTAGCTGGCTTAATGTTTGTTGTTGGCAAAGACCTTTCTGTGAGCACGGAGCTTTTAGCTTGTTCCTGCACAAAATAACCTAAGCCCCGCGGGTGTGGCCAGGTGGGTGGGTGTAGGGAGCGGCTATGGGGTCAGGCCTCAGACTGGCCCGGGGCAGAGCCACATACAAGCCCCAGCTTGGAGGGCAGAGCCCCCCAGCACAGTGAAGCCTGACCCTATAGTTCTCCCTTGTTCCCGGGCAGCTAACGGGCTGTGGGAGGGGCAGCCAGTGCTGCCAAAGCTCGGCGCGAGTGAGAACATGGATTTGAAACTCGCAAGAACCCTGGAGACCTGCTGACCCCTCCCCTTGCTTTGCTCTGTGACCTGATTACAAAATAAAGCTTCGGCTTACAGCTGTCACAGTCCTCATCCGGCACAGTGACCCGCCTGGCCCCAATGGCATTCTCCTGTCTGTCTGCTTCAATCCCTCACCGGCCACCTCCGGTTCCCCCCTGGCAGCGCGGGGCACGCTCAGGTGAGCATCAGCGGCCACGGCGGTGAGCCAGGGGTCAGGCTGGATTCCTCCCTGTCAGGGCATGTCCCCAGGTTGCCGATGGTAGGCTAATCCCCAGTAGGGGGCGTGCAGGAGGCAGTTCTCATATAAATATTTCTCACTCTCCTCCTTCCCACTCTCCCTCCCTCCCTCCCTCTCTCAAACATCTTTTAAAAAAAGAAAGTACAGCCGAAACCGGTTTGGCTCCGTGGTAAAGCGTCGGTCTGCGGACTGAAAGGTCCCGGGTTCGATTCCGGTCAAGGGCATGGACCTTGGTTGCGAGCACATCCCTAGTAGGGGGTGTGCAGGAGGCAGCTGGTCGATGATTCTCTCATGGATGTTTCTAACTCCCTCTATCCCTCTACCTTCCTCACTCGGCGCGAGTAAAAAATCAATAAAATATATTAAGAAAGAAAAAAAGAAAAAGAAAGTACAGATACTTTGAATGATCACTTGGTCAGGCTGAAATGAAAACTCCTGGCACTTTGGCTCCCACAGGGCGCCCCCGTCTCCCTCCCCGCGGGCGCCCCCTCGGGCCGTGCGCGCGGATCTGGGGAGAGATGCGGGCGCCCGAGCCGCGGCCGAACCGCACCCGCGGCCTTGGCAGCGGGATGTGGCCTGGGACCCGGAGCCCGGCGAGGTCTGCGCAAATCAATCTCAGAGCAAAACAAACAAAAGTGCTTGTAGAACCTCACCCGCAGGCGGGAGGCGGGGTGGGGCGGCGGGGTGGACTGGACACGGGGCGGGGCTCGGCCCTATTTCCTGGGGGCGGGGGCTCCGCCCACCAAAACCGACCGTGCAGCTGCCCTCCCGCCACCCGCCGCCATGGGCCTGGAGCTCTTCCTGGACCTGCTGTCGCAGCCCTGCCGCGCCGTCTACATCTTCGCCAGGAAGAACAGCATCCCCTTCGAGCTGCGGCCCGTGGAGCTGCTCAAAGGTGGGCCCGGCCGGCGGGGCGTCCGCGGCCCGTGCACCCCCTGGCTCCCCGCCCCCAGCTCCCCGAGGCCCGTGCACCCCCTGGCTCCCCGCTCCCAGCTCCCCGAGGCCCGTGCACCCCCTGGCTCCCCGCCCCCAGCTCCCCGAGGCCCGTGCACCCCCTGGCTCCCCGCCCCGCAGCTCCCTGAGGCCCGTGCACCCCCTGGCCCCTCGCCCCCAGCTCCCCGAGGCCCGTGCACCCCCTGGCTCCCCGCCCCCAGCTCCCCGAGGCCCGTGCACCCCCTGGTGCACCCCGTGGCTCCCCGCCCCGCAGCTCCCCGAGGCCCGTGCACCCCCTGGCTCCCCGCCCCGCACCTCCCCGAGGCCCGTGCACCCCCTGGCTCCCCGCCCTGCCGCTCCCCGAGATCCCACAGTGGGCAGAGCCCCCTCGCCACCCGGGCGGTCTCCTCCGGGCCGGGTGGGCTGGGGCAGGCCACAGGCCTTTCCTGAAAGGGGGGAACTGTTCCGCTCCGACGGGGAGAAAGCTGGCTTCCAGAGGCACCCCCCAAACAGCATGCCTTAAGTCCCCAAAGCCCTGGAGACTTGGGGGACTGGCACCCCTCCCCTTGCTCACCCCAGTCCTGTCTAATATCTTCTCCTCACCCACCGCAGCCCCTGGCGGCACTCAGCACAGCCCCATCGCCACGACACCCCCGCCCCCACCCCTGCTGTTCCCAGCCTGGCAGGGGGCTCTGGTTGGAGGAGGTGTGCTTGTTGTCCTCAGCCTTTTCTATTTTATATATATATATATTTTTATTGATATTTTACAGAGTGGAAGAGAGAGGGATAGAGAGCTAGAAACATCGATGAGAGAGAATCATCCATCAGCTGCCTCTTGCACACCCCCTACTGGGGATGTGCCCACAACCAAGGTACATGCCCATGACCAGAATCGAACCCGGGACCCTTCAGTCCTCAGGCAGACGCTCTATCCACTGAGCCAAACCGGTCCCGGCACAGCCTTTTCTATTTTAAAAACATACACTTTTTGATTCTATAGTGAGGAAGGGAGAGAGAGGGAGAGAGAGAGGGAGAGGGAGAGAAACATCAATGATGGGAGAGAATCATGGATCGGGTGCCTCCTGCACGCTGCCCCCCCCCCCCCCACCATGGAGCCTGCACCCCGGGCCTGTGCCCTGACCGGGAGTCGAACTGCTGAGCGCTCGGTTCCTGGGTCCGTGCTCGCCCACGGAGCCTGAGGCTGGAGTGCAGGCCTTTCTGACCTCCTCCGCAGGGCAGCATGTCAAGGGGTTCTTACCGGCGGGCAGCCAGCAGGTGGTGCCCCTCCTCAAGGACGGCGACTTCGTTCTGCACCAGAGGTACGCTCCTTCCACCGCCTCCGAGGCCCGGCCCGCCCGCGGGCCCTGGCTGCCCGCTGCGGGCCCCCCACAGGCACCGCCCGAGGGCCGAGGGGAAGGTGCGATGGGAGCAGGTGGCTGGGCGTGAGCCAGGGTGGCCAGGGGCTCCCGGGGTGACACAGCGCATCCCTGCACCTCTCTCCCTCCTTCCCTCCCTCCCTCCCTCCCTCCCTCCCTCTCTCTCTCTCTCTCAAATATATTTTATTGATTTTTTACAGAGAGGAAGGAAGAAGGATAGAGAATTAGAAACATCAACCAGCTGCCTCCTGCATGCCTCCCGCTGGAGATGTGCCTGAAACCAAGGTACATGCCCTTGACCGGAATCGAACCTGGAACCTTTCAGTCCACAGGCGGACGCTCTATCCACTGAGCCACACCGGTGGTTAGGGCTCGCTCTTTCTCTTTTTAAAAAATATATTTATGCCGGGACCGGTTTGGCTCAATGGATAGAGTGTCGGCTTGGGGACTGAAGGGTCCCGGGTTCGATTCCGGTCAAGGGCATGTACCTTGGTTGCGGGCACATCCCCAGTAGGGGGTGTGGAAGAGGCAGCTGATCGATGACTCCCATCGATGTTTCTAACCCTCTATCTCTCTCCCTTCCTCTCTGTACAAAATCAATAAAATATATTTTTTAAAAATATATTTATATTGATTTCAGAGAGGAAGGGAAAGGGGGAGAGAGAGAGAGAGAGAGAAATCAGTGATGTGAGAGAATCATTGATTGGCTGCCTGCCTCCTGCACGCCCCCTACCGGGGATCCAGCCGGCAACCTGGGAATTGAACCTGGGACACTTCAGACCACACATTGATGTTCTGTCCACTGAGCCAAACCGGCTCAGGCTGCGAAGAGGTTCTTGAAGTCCGGAACCGAGGGGCTGCCCGAGACTTAGTGCCCAAGGCTGAGAAGAAAGGAGCCTCAGGGGGGACAGGCAGGGGTGAGGCCCGGGGAGCAGGGGTGGGAGGGGAGGCCGGCCCTCAAAAGCAGACAAGCCCCAGGTCCCAGGGGGTGGGGCAGGCGCGAATGAAGGCCCAGGGTCTTCTCACAGCCCCCCTCCCCCCGCGCCTGTCCCCAGCGCGGCCATCCTGATTTACCTGAGCTGTAAGTACCAGGTGGCGGACCACTGGTACCCAGCCGACCTGCAGGCCCGCGCCCGCGTCCACGAGTACCTGGGCTGGCACGCCGACTTCATCCGGGGCACCTTTGGGGTGTGCCTGTGGACCCAGGTGAGGAGCGCCGTTCGGGGGAGGGGAATTGGGGGGGGGCAGTTACCTGCCAGGGGCCTGGGAGGAGGCGGGGCCACAGGCTGAGCCTGCACGTGGCCTGTGCCAGGTGCTGGCACCGCTCATCGGGGCGCCAGTGCCCGAGGAGAAGGTGACGCGCAACAGGGCCGCGGTGGACAGCGCGCTGCAGCAGCTGGAGGAGCAGGTCCTGGGGGACAAGGCCTTCCTGGCCGGCCCGCAGCTGACGCTGGCGGACCTCCTGGCCCTGGAGGAGCTGATGCAGGTACGAGCGTGGCCGGGGCGGCCTGGGCAGGCAGCGTCCTCCGCCCGCAGCGCGGAGGCCTGGAGACCCCGGGCTCTGCCCTCAGCACAGAGCGCTCTGGCTGAACCCGGCGCTGCAGCCGCGCCCTCTGCTTCCCTCCTGGGGGGGGAGGGAGTTCCTTCCGGTGCTTTTTAAAAAATATATTTTTTAGCCCTAACCGGTGTGGCTCAGTGGATAGGCGTCGGCCTGCGGACTGAAGGGTCCCAGGTTCGATTCCGGTCAAGGGCATGGACCTTGGTTTCGGGCACATCCCCAGTAGGGGGTGTGTAGGAGGCAGCTGATGGATGTTTCTCTCTCATCCATGTTTCTATCTATCTCTTCCTCTCTGTAAAGAATCAATAAAATAAATTTAAAAAAATATATTATATATATATATTTTAATGTATATATATTTTATTATAATTTTAAAATATATTTTTATTGATTTCAGAAAGGGAGAGGGAGATAGAGATGGAAACATCAATGATGAGAGCGAATCATCAATCAGTTGCCTCCCACATGCCCCCCCTTACCGGGGGTCGAGCATGTGCCCTTAACTGCAATCGAACCTGGGACCCTCCAGTCCATAGGCCGACACTATCCACTGAGCCACACCAACGAGGACTATTATTATTTATATATATGTAGATTTTTATTGATTTTAGAGAGGAAGGGAGAAGGAGAGAAAGAATCATCGATGGGCTGCCTCCTCCACAGCCCACTCTGGGGATCGAGCCCCCAACCCGGGCCTGTGCCCTTGACTGGGGATCGAACCCTGACCTCCTGGTGCACAGGTGGAGGCGCAGCCTGGGCCGTCTGGTGCTCTCAGGCCTGCGGTGGGCACACTGTCTGGGCCTCACTCACATGGCGGCTGGACAAGGAACCCGACACCTGTGCCAGGGCTCCTGGCATCCGGACCTCCGCATCCCACCCATGGTCCCGCCCTCATCCCCCATGCCAGGGCCATGACGGTGGAACCGGGCTGAGGTAGGGGGGTGGGCATTGAGAAGAGAAAGGAAGACAGGAACCCGGGGTCGGGAGGGCTACAGGAAGCCAGTTTATTAACTGCGCGATGCTTTGTATACACCAAACACGGAATGGGAGGTCTGCCAAGAGGACTGTACTCTTTGTTCCTCTCAATCTCTGAGGGAGAGACAGAGCAGAAGGGCAGATTCTCGGTTCAGCGAATCTCAGTCAACAGTCTCATACTTCTTGGCACGCCATGAAAGGTCGCTCTCATCCTTCTGAGAGTCGCCATCCACACAGGCCTGGGAGCGCTGGGTGGGTAGGGGGGCTAGAAGGCTGGGACCTTGTCCGCTTACACCCTGTCTCCCACGCCCACAGGTGGTGGCTCTCGGCCGCGACGTGTTTGCGGGCCGGCCGCGGCTGGCTGCGTGGCGCGGGCGGGTGGAGGCCGCCCTGGGGGCCGATCTGTGCCGGGAGGCCCGCGGCCCCATCCTGAACATCCTGGAGCAGGCGGCCGGCAGGCAGCTCCCGCAGCCCCCCGCGGAGTTCCGCCACCGGATGCTGCTGCGCCTCTCCAGGATCCCCTGAGGGCCGCCCGAGGCGAGCACCGTTCCTTCCTTCTGCGTCTGACCGGTCCCTTTCCCCTCGCCCTCACGTCTCCGCTCCCCCTGGCTCCGGGAGGGGTCTGCACTGGCCGCCCCCGCTGTCCTCGGCTGCCTCTCGGGTGCCACAGACGCAGCCCTAGATGGAAAGCAAACCATGCAGCCCTGGACAGTGTGGCTCAATGGATAGAGCGTCGGCCTGCAGATGGAAGGGTCCCGAGTTCGATTCCGGTCCAGGGCACGTGCCCGGGTTGCGGGCTGATCCCCAGTGGGGGGCGTGCAGGAGGCAGCCGATCCATGATGCTCTCTCATCATTACTGTTTCTATCCCTCTCTTCCTCTCCTTTCCTCTCTGAAATCAATAAAAAATTTTTTAAAAAAAAAACAACAGAAAAACCAAGTGCCTTGTGTTGCGTGTGGACCAGGACCAAGGGCCGGGTGGAGGCAGGGCGGGGGCCTGGAGGCTGTGAGGTTGGCCAGGCCATCAGAGGCGTGTGTGTGTGTGTGAGTGTGTGTGTGTGAGTGTGTGTGAGTGTGTGTGTGTGTGCGTGTGTGTGTGTGTGTGTGTGTGTGAGTATGGGGGGGAGGGGGGAATGCAGCTGTGGAGCAACAGCATGACCACACCTGGTGGTAGGGAGGAGGGTGGGATGAGGAAGAGGGGAGACGCCTAGGGCCTGAGCCGCAGGGAGTTGGGGGTGCACCCTGAGGTGGGGAGCTCTGGAGAGAGGGGTGTCTTTACCAGGCCCCGGTTACTCTGTGGACAGAGGCGAGGCCTGGGCTGGGGGTGGGTGGGGCATGGGGTACACGCATGTGTGTGTGTGAATGCGTGAGTGCGCGCGCGCGCGTGTGTGTGTGCACGTGTGTGTGTGTGTGTGTGTGTGTGTGTGTGTGTGTGAGAGAGAGAGAGAGAGAGAGAGAGAGAGAGAGAGAGTAGGAGGGAGGGCATAAAGCCCTGAACTTTGAGCCTGCAGCTCCTCGGCCTGCCTGCCTGTCGCCACTCTCTGAGGGATTGTGAGGCCACCAGGCTGTCCCAGGCGCGGGTCAGGGGGGCCGGCAGGCCCCATCCAGAGCGGGGAGCAGGATGGCGGAGTGTCCATGGGCTCACCCTGTGGGTGAGGGAGAGGGCCAGGCGGGGACCCTGCTTCTGGAAAACCCAGGGCCACGCCCCGGCAGGGATGCAGCTGGACCTGCCGCCACGCCCACGCGGCCAGGAGGGATGGTGGCCTGGCAGGGCCCCAGCCGTCATGGAGGAAGTGGGCTTGAGGGAAGGGCACAGACCTCAGGCCACGTTTCCTTTTATTCCTCACTGGAGGATATTTTTTCCATTGATTTTTAGAGAGTGGAAGAGAGGGAGGGGAGAAGGAGAGGGAGGGGGAGAAGGGGAGAGGAGAGAGAGAGAGAGAGAGAGAAAGAGAAACATCGATGTGAGAGAGGCACATGGATTGGTTGCCTCCCACGTGCATCCTGACTGGGGCTGGGCTCCTCTTTCTCCCTGTCTTTTTCTAGCCACAGTTCGGGTTCGATTGGTCAGTGCCTACTTCCAATCTCTGCTTCTGGAGCCTTCCAGGGCTGGATCTCAATGCCCGTCCTCCCTCCACAAGGAAGGCCTGGCCCTGGGAAGGGATTCCCTGGTGCGAGCCCCTTTCTCACACCGGCCCTGAGGGAGGGGAAGGGCAGAGTCAGGGTTCCCCTCCCCGGCCTCCTCCTGTCTCCTCAGAATCCTCGCTGCCGCCAGATTCCAGGTTGCATGGCCTCGTGACAATCACAAGAGAAGCAGGAGTTCCAGAATGCGGGCTGCTGGCCTGGGCGGGAGAGGGCCGCGGGGACGGGAGCTGGGCTCAGGCTGCACCTCGCTCGGGTCAGGGCCTCCACCCGTTCCGCGTCTCGGCCATGGGCCTGGAGCTCTACCTGGACCTGCTGTCGGCGTCCTGCCGCGCCGTCTACATCTTCGCCAGGAAGAACAGCATCCCCTTCGACTTCCAGTTTGTGGACCTGCTCAAAGGTCGGCACCGGTGCTCCCCTGGGCGGGCCTGGTCCTGGGAGTAGGCAGAGCAACAAGGTGGGGGTGTTTCTGAAAAGCAGAGATGGAGACCAGGAGGGAGGAGGCCTCTGCCCAGACCCTGCAGGGGAAGGACAGGTTTCCGAGGGGAGTGTAGGCCGCGCGTCTGTCCCCTCTGATGCTGCCCCGCTCTCGGAGGGCAAAGGGGGAAGAGAGTGCTGCAGAGTGGCCCCTGGGCTCCCACCCAGTGCCCTCACCTTCTCCTCGGGGACTGAACTCTTGTTAACGGCAGCACCCATGGAGGATGTTGGAAAAGGCACGGAGGTGTCTGGCCATCTCCCACCTAAGAGTCCTGAGGCAGCTTCGGTCTACACCCATCCTCCCCCAGCATTCACATCTGCTCAGGGTGACACAGACCCAGGGAAGCTCGGGGGCTGGTCTCCAGGACTCCCCTATCCCAAGCCCAGAGGTGGCTTTAAAAGCTCAACGTGGCCCTAACTTGGTTTGGCTCAGTGGCTGGAGTATCAGCCTCCGGACTCAAGGGTCTCAGGTTCGATTCTGGTCAAGGGCATGTACCTTGGTTGTGGGCACATCCCCGGTAGGGTGTGTGCAGGAGGCAGCTGATCAATGCTTCTCTCTCATTCGACGTTTCTAACTCTGTCCCTCTCCCTTTCCTCTCTGTAAAAAAATCAATAAAGTAAAAAAAAAAAGCTCAGCTTGTGGGAGCCTATACCCAGGTGCTCCAGAAATGAACGAGGTGGAGCCCGAAAATGTTTCCAGCCAGAGACAGCTGGTCCCGGAAGAATTCCACACAGGGTCGGCTGCATGTGAGAGGCTCTTTTGTTGAATTCCAGCTGTGTGCTAGGCTGCCGGCGGTGGCTGCAGGCCCCAGAGTCGGGGGTGAGACCGGCACCCTCCAGCTTCTGGGAGGGAAAGGGTCCTCCTGGTCACAGAGCCTGAACAGGAGCAGGAGTCCTGACCCCAGGCCCGTGACCTTCCCTGACTTGCTCTCTGACCTGGGGCGAGCCATGATCTCCTCTGGGCCTCGGTTTCCCCTGGTGAGCCAATGGAGAGAAGGACATGTCTGCCTCCGGGATGCCTGGCTCTCTCTTCCCGGGGTGTCTGCAGCCTCTCTTTCCTGCCCCACGCAGGTTACCACCACAGCAAGGAGTACAGCGAGATCAACCCCCTGAAGAAGCTGCCCAGCCTCAAAGATGGGAAATTCGTCTTATCGGAAAGGTAACAGTCTGCCCGGGGCCCTGCCGCCACCTGTCTCTGCTCCTCCTGCAGCTGGTCTGCTGGTGCTGACCACGGAGCATCGCCCCCAGACGCCACAGCAGACGGGCCACTAGCCAAGGAGGAGCATAACGCCCCGTGGACCCATCACGGAGCTCCAGAAGTGGTCCACGCAGGGGCCCGGGAGCCACTGGCAGGTCTCCCCAGAGCAGTTGTGGCCCAGGAACTGGCCTCCAAGGGTGGTGCTCCCAGAGGTCACAGAAAGGGCAGGTGTAGCCGAAACTGGTGTGGCTCAGTGGATAGAGCGTCGGCCTGCGGACAGAAAGGTCCCAGGTTCGATTCCGGTCAAGGGCATGTACAGTGGTTGTGGGCACATCCCCAGTAGGGGTTTTGCAGGAGGCAGCTGATTGATGTTTCTCTCTTATTGATGTTTCTAACTATCCCTCTCTCTTCCTCTCGGTGAAAAATCAATAAAATATATATTAAAAAGAAAAAGGCCGAAGCCGGTTTGGCTCAGTGGTAGAGCGTCTGTCTGCGGACTGAAAGGTCCCAGGTTCGATTCCGGTCAAGGGCATGTACATTGGTTGCGGGCACATCCCCGATAGGGGGTGTGCAGGAGGCAGCTGGTCGATATTTCTCTCTCATTGACGTTTCTAGCTCTCTCTCCCTCTCCCTTCCTCTCTGTACAAAATCAATAAAATATATTTAAAAAAAGAAAAAAGAAAAAAAGCAAGGGAAGGTGTAGGGAGCGGCTATGGGGTCAGGCCTCAGACTGGCCCGGGGCAGAGCCACATACAAGCCCCAGCTTGGAGGGCAGAGCCCCCCAGCACAGTGAAGCCTGACCCTATAGTTCTCCCTTGTTCCCGGGCAGCTAACGGGCTGTGGGAGGGGCAGCAAGTGCTGCCAAAGCTCGGCGCGAGTGAGAACATGGATTTGAAACTCGCAAGAACCCTGGAGACATGCTGACCCCTCCCCTTGCTTTGCTCTGTGACCTGATTACAAAATAAAGCTTCGGCTTACAGCTGTCACAGTCCTCATCCCGGCACAGTGACCCGCCTGGCCCCAATGGCATTCTCCTGTCTGTCTACTTCAATCCCTCACCGGCCACCTCAGGTTCACCCCTGGCAGCGCTGGGTGCGGTTCAGGCAGGGCTGTTGGGCCAGTGAGTCAAACCTCACCTGCCTCTTAAGCCTCATCCCCTCTGCTGCCAGTTCACTCTCTTCTCTCCACTCCCCCAGCTCCCCATTCCCAGGCCCCACCTGACCAAGGTCACCAGCTATGCCAGGCGGTTTGGCTCAGTGGATAGAGCCTCTCAGCCTGAGGACTCAAGGGCACCTGCCCGGGGTTTAAGACTCGATCCCCTGTAGGAAGCGTGCAGGAGCCAGCCGACCAATGATTCAGCATTTTAAAAAAAATATATATTTTATTGATTTTTAATAGAGAGGAAGAGAGAGGGACAGAGAGCTAGAAACATCGATGAGAGAGAATCATCCATCAGCTGCCTCTTGCACACCCCCTACTGGGGATGTGCCCGCAACCAAGGTACATGCCCTTGACCGGAATCAAACCTGGGACCCTTCAGTCCGCAGGCCTATCCACTGAGCCACACCGGTTTCGGCAATGAGTCAGCATTGATGTTTCTCTCTCTCTCTCCCTCTTCCTTCTCTAAAATCAATGAAACTGTATGAAAACAGAAAAAGCAGGGGTCCGGCTGGCCTGCCCTCGCTGCAGCCTTTGGGCTCCTCCTTCCGCTGGAAGGATGTCTGTGCCGGGGGGGGGGTGGGGGGGGGTGGCGGGAGCTCTGCCTTGGGGGGAGGCCTCCCTGGGGTGGTGGCTGGTGCAGCCGAGCTGGGCGGCCTGAGCAGCGCCCTCCCTGCCCGCCCCGCAGCGTGGCCGTCCTCCTCTACCTGTGCCGCAAGTACAGCACCCCCTCCTACTGGTACCCGCCGGACCTGCACACCCGCGCCCGCGTGGACGAGTTCATGGCCTGGCAGTACACGGCCATCCAGCTGCCCATGAGCAAGGTCCTCTGGATCAAGGTGAGTGCGCCGCGCCCCGGGCCGGCAGCGGGAGCTTAGCACGTGCCCCTCCGTCCCAGCCTCACTCTCTCCGCTGCCTTCCTCGCCTCCTCCAGAGCAGGGAGGGGCGAGGGTGATCCGCTGGGTGTGAAGAGCTGTGGAAAGACCTGGAGGAGGACAGGGGCTTGGGGGGGGGGGGGGAGAAGGAGGGGAGAGACAGGTGTCACTTAAACCAGGACGAGACTCCAGACATTCCGTTCTCAGCTGGAATAGATCCCGAGTCCAAGGGCCTGGGGACACCAGGGATCTAAAGATGACACGTGAGCCGAAACCGGTTTGGCTCAATGGATAGAGCGTCGGCTTGGGGACTGAAGGGTCCCAGGTTCGATTCCGGTCAAGGCATGTACTTTGGTTGCGGGCATATCCCCAGTAGGGGGTGTGCAAGAGGCAGCTGATCAATGACTCTCTCCCATCGATGTTTCTAACTCTCTATCTCTCTCCCCTCCTCTCTGTAAAAAATCAATAAAATATATTTAAAAAAAAATAAAATAAAATAAAGATGACACGTGAGCCGAAGCCAATGTGGCTCAGTGGATAGAGCCTCGGCCTGAGGACTGAAGGGTCCCAGGTTGGATTCCGGTCAAGGGCATGGACCTTGGTTGTGGGCTCATCCCCGGTAGGGTATGTGCAGGAGGCAGCCGGTGGATGTTTCTCTCTCATCGATGTTTCTAACTCTCTATCTCCTTTTCTTTCTGTAAAAAAATCAATAAAATATATTTTAAAATAAATAAATAAATAAAATTTTGAAAAAGGAAAGTATTGAGATCTATTTAGTATTTAAAATAAATAAATAAAGATGACACATGACAGTTATGTGAGGGATCTGTTCCGAGAAAGTCGGGACAGATATATATATATTAAAAAATTATATACTTTATTGATTTATAAAGTATATACTTTATAATTATATACTTTATTGATTTTTAATATATATTAAAAATATATATATACTTTATTGATTTTTTTTTTTTTTTTTTTTTTTTTACAGAGAGGAAGGGAGAGGGATAGAGAGTTAGAAACATCGATAGAAACATCCATCAGCTGCCTCCTGCACACCCCCTACTGGGGATGTGCCCGCAACCAAGGTTCATGCCCTTGACTGGGATTGAACCTGGGACCCTTGAGTCTGCAGGCCGACGCTCTATCCACTGAGCCACACCGGTGATTTTGTGGTGGAACGTCGTCGTCGAGTGTGCTTACACCGGCCTACACGCGTAGGCCGCGTGGCTCTGTCCGTCGCTGCAAGGCTGCTGACCTGGGGAGCGTGGGATTGTCCGAATCAGCGCGAGCTTAGATCCAGGGCCGGGGACACGGTGGGATGGAGGGAGGCCATCAGTCCGAGACAAGGCCACCGAGGCCGGAGGCTCGGGGGGGGGGGCGGTGAGCCTGGGGTGCGGCCGCCTCCTCCATCCTCTCCCTGGGCCCCCCAGCTCCTGATCCCCATGATCACAGGCGAGGAGGTGCCAGCGGAGAAGGAGGAGGAGGTGCTGGCCGAGGTGAAGCAGAACCTGCAGCTGTTTGAGGAGCGGTTCCTTCAGGACCGGAACTTCATCACCGGGGACAGCATCTCCCTGGCCGACCTGGTGGCCTTGGTGGAGATGATGCAGGTGCGGGCCCTGCGGGCGGGGAGGCAGCCGGGGAGGCAGCCGGGGAGGCAGACAGTGGGGAGGCGGGCCTGGGGCTCGGAGGCCGAGTCTGGGTGGCGGCACTCCATCGGGGCCACAGGAAATAGTTTTTTTTTTTTTTTAATATATTTTATTGATTTTGTACAGAGAGGAAATGAGAGAGATAGAGAGCTAGAAACATCGATGAGAGTCATCGATCAGCCGCCTCTTGCACCCCCCCCACTGGGGATATGCCCGCAACCAAGGTACATGCCCTTGACCGGAATCGAACCCGGGACCTTCCAGTCCCCAAACCGACGCTCTATCCATTGAGCCAAACCGGTCTCGGCAGGAAATAGTTTTTTGTTTTGTTTTGTTTTGAATATATCTTGCCCTGGCCAGTTTTGCTCAGTGGATAGCGCATCGGCCTGCGGACTGAAGGGTCCCGGGTTCGATTCGGGCCAAGGGCACGTGCCCAGGTTGCAGGCTCAATGATCCCCAGTGGGGAATGTGCAGGAGGCAGCTGATCGATCATTCTCTCTCATCATTGATGTTTCTATCTCTCTTTCATTCTTCCGTCCTCTCTGAAATCAATAAAGAAATATATTTAAAAAGTAAAAATAAAAATATATATCTTGATTGATTTCAGAGAGGAAGGGAGAAGGGAGAGAGAGAGAGAGAGAGAGAGACAGAGAGAGAGAGAGAGAGACAGAGAGAGAGAGAGAGAGAGACATCAATGATGAGAATCATGGATCGGCTGCCTCCTGCACGTCTCCCACTGGGAATCAAGCCCACAACCTGGGTATGTGCCCTTGACTGGAATTGGACCCGGGACCCTTTCGTCCGCAGGCTGACGCTCTATCCGCTGAGCCAACTGGCCAGGGAGAACAGAGCGCTTGAACCATAGAGGGGGATTGCTAGCATCCACGCTGCATTCCTGGGTGTGTGTGGTGGTGGGGAGGGGGAGGCCAGGCCTGGGGCAAGGAGGAGAGCACAGATTTCTTGGGTCAGTCAGCTGGGATCCTAGATGCCTCTGCCTCCTGGTGGACGCCCAGGCAGTGTCCAGAAGCTTCCAAAGCGTCCTTCCGGCTGCAGGGCTTCTTCTCCGAGTCCCAGAGGGCTGCACAGAGCAGCTCCCTCGCCGCTGGGTCTGAGGGGCGTCCGAGGAGCACGTGAGGGCAGACCTGCATGCAGGGGAGGCAGCCCGGTCCAGCCCAGCGGGCGTGCAGGCCAGTTTATTTATTTATTTTTTCAAACATATTTTTATCGATTTCAGAGAGGAAAGAGGAGAGGGAGGGATGGAGAGAAACATCCGTGATGGAGAGACTCATCCACTGGCTGCCTCCTGCATGCCTCCCACTGGGGATGGAGCCTGCAACCCAGGCCTGTGCCCTGACCGGGAACTGAACCATGGCCTCCTGGTTCACAGGTCGCCGCTCAGTCACTGAGCCACGCAGGCCGGGCAGGAGGGCCAGATTAGACCCTGGCTGGTGTCTTTGCAACTGGCCACCTTGGTCCGTGTGCCGAGCAGATCGGCCCGGGAAAACTGGGTGTAGATTTTCTAGGTGGGAGAGCCCCTGCGTTTCCCGCCCGCCTGCCCGCCATGGGCCTCCCGCACATACTGGGTGCAGGCTCCTCCCGCTGCCTGCTGGGTCTCCCATGCCAGCCCCCTTGCCGGACCACAGGGGGAGCTGGACATGGGGAGGGGCAGTTCCTCCCACCCTCATCGGGGACCCCGGGGATCTCTGGGAGAAGGCGGGACCCACAGGAGGCTCCCCACTGGGAAAAGGAGGAGCCACATGGGCCAGGGCTCCCCCAGAGAGGGATTTGAGACCATGGACCAAGACTAAGTGACCAGGAGCCTGGGGGGTCCCGGAGCTCCAATCCCCGCCCCACTTCCGTGACGGAGCCTGTGACTGAGGCTGAGGGAGGGGAGCCGCGGGGGCTGGGCCCCAGGTGACCGCGCCTTCCGCTCTGTCTCCCCGCAGCCCATGGGGGGCAACTACAATGTCTTCCAGTTCAGCTCCAAGCTGTCCGAGTGGCGCTTGCGGGTGGAGCTGAGCATCGGCCCCAGCCTCTTCTGGGAGGCCCACAACCGGCTGACGAAGCTGGGCGAGTGGGACTGCTCCACGCTGGACCCGTCGGTCAAAGAGAGGATCACCGACCTGCTGCAGAAGCTGAAGTGAAGCCGCCCCCCTCAGCCCCCGGCGCCGCCTTTCTGAGGACGGACACCAAAACCCACTGTTTCTTTGTCCAATAAAGAGCCGGGACCACCGCCACGGCTGCCGAGCCTGCGCCCCGGGGTGGGCACGGGGCTGCCGGGGAGCGGGGAGGGGAGCCCGGGGAAGGAAGGCCTATTCTTGCACAAACATCAGGCAACAGGCCTCTAATAAATATTATAAATATATTATAAATATATTAGAGAGAGAGAGAGAGAGAACACTCAAGAACAGCAGAATAGCCCTAGCCAGTTTGGATCAGGGGATAGAACTTCCGCCTGTGGACCTAAGGGTCCCGGGTTCGATTCCAGTCAAAGGCACATTCCCTCTGTTGCAGGCTCCTCCCTGGGCCGGGCCCTGGTCAGGGCTCAAGCAGGAGGCAACCCATTGAGGTGTTTCTCTCACATTGATGTTTCTGTTTTTCCCTCTCTCTTCCACTCTCTTTAAAAATCAATGGAAAACATATCCTTGGGTGAGAATTAAAAATGAAATAAATTTAAAACAAAAAACACACACAAAAAACAAAGAGCAGCAGAATACACATTCTCTTCCAGTGCATGTGGGATATTCTCCGTGACAGACCACGTGTCAGGCCATAAAGTCCCAACAAGCTGAAACAGATAGGTCTCCTAACGGGGCATGTTCTCTGAATGCACTGGAATAAACCAGAAAGATCTGGCTCCGGACCCCATGCCCTTAGCCCCAGGCTCCACAGAGGCCGGTTCCGGCGCGCGTCAGAGCCCTGGGGCCCTGGTGGGCATTGCGCGGCGGCTCGATCCCCTCCTCTCGCACACCCGGGGGCCTCACCACCTTGGGCTTCCTGCTGGGGTGGGCACTGCCCCCTTTCCATCCCATCGCTGGGACTGCCTCTTTCCTTGTCTGCACCCCCGTTTCTCCATCTTTTTTTTTTTTTTTTTAATAAATTTTTATTGATTTTTTAGAGAGGGAGGGAGAGGGATAGAGAGTTAGAAACATCGATGAGAGAGAAACATCGATCAGCTGCCTCCTGCTCACTGTCCCACTGGGGATGTGCCCGCAACCAAGGTACATGCCCTTGACCGGAATCGAACCTGGGACCCTTCAGTCCGCAGGCCGACGCTCTATCCACTGAGCCAAACTGGTCTCGGCTCGTTTCTCCATCTTGAACATGGTTAGGGCAGAGCCAACCCCCCCCACCCACACACACACCTCCCACACACACACCTCTGCATGTCGCATATCCGCAGACTTTCTGGGTCTGCAGTCACGCCTGGGCCTTCACCTCCTCACCTGTGAAATGGGGGTGACAGGAGATGCTCTGAGACACTACCAGGTGAAACTGGAGGCTGTGATTCTAAATCCAACGAGCCAGCCAAAACCGGTTTGGCTCAGTGGATGGAGCATCGGCCTGTGGACTGAAAGGTCCCAGTTAGATTCCGGCCAAGGGCATGCACCTCGGTTGCGGGGAACATTTCCCGTGGGGGGTGTGCAGGAGGCAGCTGGCCGATGTTTCTCTCTCATCGATGTTTCTAACTCTCTTTCCCTCTCTCTTCCTCTCTGAAAAAAATCAATAAATATATTTAAAACAATAAAATAAAATAAAATAAATAAAATAAAATAAAAATAAATCCAACGAGCCAGCCACAGAGCCCTGGGGCTGGGAGCCCTCCGCCCGACCCTCAGAGGGGGGACCCGCCCATTGCCCCCACCCTCCTTGGCTGGGCCCGGAGCCTCGCCCGCCCGCCCCGTCGGGCGTCGCCAGCCGTTGGCCCGGATGACCGCCAGGGGGCGTGGCCCCGCTGCGGACCGGTCCGCGCCGCCATGGGCCTGGAGCTCTTCCTGGACCTGCTGTCGCAGCCCTGCCGCGCCGTCTACATCTTCGCCAGGAAGAACAGCATCCCCTTCGAGCTGCGCATCGTGGAGCTGCTCAAAGGTGGGCCGGCGGCGTCCGGGGGACCGGGAGGCTGGGGGGGCCCGGCGGGGCGTCCGGGGGACCGGGAGGCTGGGGGGGCCCGGCGGGGCGTCCGGGGGACCGGGAGGCTGGGGGGCCCGGCGGGGCGTCCGGGGGACCGGGAGGCTGGGGGGCCCGGCGGGGCGTCCGGGGGACCGGGAGGCTGGGGGGGCCCGGCGGGGCGTCCGGGGGACCGGGAGGCTGGGGGCCCGGCGGGGCGTCCGGGGGACCGGGAGGCTGGGGGCCCGGCGGGGCGTCCGGGGGACCGGGAGGCTGGGGGCCCGGCGGGGCGTCCGGGGGACCGGGAGGCTGGGGGGCCCGGCGGGGCGTCCGGGGGACCGGGAGGCTGGGGGGGCCCGGCGGGGCGTCCGGGGGACCGGGAGGCTGGGGGCCCGGCGGGGCGTCCGGGGGACCGGGAGGCTGGGGGGGCCCGGCGGGGCGTCCGGGGGACCGGGAGGCTGGGGGCCCGGCCGGCGCCTCTCCGCCGCGGAGGATGGAGAGCCTCCGGGAGGCGGATGGAGGAGGAGCGGCCGCGGCGCATCCCCCAGGAGCCCGAGGCGGGCGCAGGCCTGGGGTGCGGGCGCGGCCCCCAGTGTGTGTGTGTGTGTGTATATGTGTGTGTGTGTGAGTGTGTGTGAGAGTGTGAGTGTGTGTGTGTGTGTGAGTGTGTGTGAGTGTGTGTGAGTGTGTGGGTATGTGTGTGTGAGTGTGTGTGTGTGTGTGTGTGTGTGAGTGTGTGAGTGTGTGTGTGAGTGTGTGTGTGTGTGAGTGTGTGAGTGTGTGAGTGTGTGTGTGTGATTTCTGTGTGTGAGTGTGTGTGTGTGAGTGTGTGTGAGTGTGTGAGTGTGTGTGTGAGTGTGTGTGTGTGTGAGTGTGTGAGTGTGTGAGTGTGTGTGTGAGTGTGTGAGTGTGTGGGAGTGTGTGTGTGAGTGTGTGTGAGTGTGTGTGTGTGTGTGAGTGTGTGTGAGTGTGTGTGTGTGTGTGTGTGAGTGTGTGTGTGTGTGAGTGTGTGTGTGTGAGTGTGAGTGTGTGTGTGTGTGTGAGTGTGTGTGTGAGTGTGTGAGTGTGTGTGTGTGTGAGTGTGTGTGTGAGTGTGTGTGTGTGTGAGTGTGTGTGAGTGTGTGTGTGAGTGCGTGAGTGTGTGTGAGTGTGTGTGAGTGTGTGGGTATGTGTGTGTGAGTGTGTGTGTGTGTGAGTGTGTGTGTGTGTGTGAGTGTGTGTGTGTGTGTGTGAGTGTGTGTGTGTGTGAGTGTGTGTGTGTGTGTGTGAGTGTGTGAGTGTGTGTGAGTGTGAGTGTGTGTGAGTGTGTGAGAGTGTGTGTGTGTGTGTGTGTGTGAGTGTGTGTGTGCCAGAGGCAGCTGACCCGGTTCCCTCTCCACGGATGTGTCTCTCTCCCTCTTGAATAAACACGATAAAGATGAGTGAGGAGGAGCCGCCGGTGAAGAAGGGGTGAAGGGGTGCCCCCGGCGGGCCGGCCTTTGGGAAGGAGGCGGCAGGAGAGGGTGAAGGCGGCCGGGCAGAGCCTGGGACAGAGGCCAGCCCGCTGGGCAGCCTCCCATCGGTTCTGCGACAGCTCGCTCTGCCCCCACCTTCCAGCCCTCTCTGCTCCACCCAGTCTGCACTGGAGCCCCTTCTACCTCTCCCTCTTCCTCCTCTTCCTCCTCCTCTTCCCCATCCTCCATCTCTTGTTCTTCCTCCTCCTCCTCATCATCCTCCATCTCTTCTTCTTCCTCCTCTTCCTCCTCCTCTTCCCCATCCTCCATCTCTTGTTCTTCCTCCTCCTCCTCATCATCCTCCATCTCTTCTTCTTCCTCCTCTTCCTCCTCCTCCTCCTCCTTTCCCTCCTCCCTCTCCTCCTCTCCTCCTCCTCCTCTCCCTTCTCCTCCTCCTCCTTTATCTCTTCTTCTTCCCTCTCCTCCTCTTCCCTCTTCTCCTCCTCCTCCTCCTCTCCCTCCTCCTCCTTTTCTTCCTCCAACTTTGCCTTTATCCACTTTGTCCTGTTTCTCTTGTCCCTGCAGGGGATGGGAGGGGCCCCACGGTGTGCCCCGGGGAGGGTTTGGGGGCTTGGTGAGCAAGATGACTTGTTTCTTTGGCAAGGCCGCAAGGCGCCGGCTGGCACATGGAGTCCTGGCATCGGGCGCAGCACCCACGGACCGCCGGAGGAGAAGTAGGGCAGCTCGCCCTGGCCCGTTTGGCTCAGTGGACAGCAACCCTGGCCGGGCGACTGGAGACCCACATGCCCGTCAGCGGCTCTCTCCGGCGCAGCCGCAGGAGCAGAAACCTTAGATAAACTCGGCCAAGGCCAGGCCCCTCGGGGAGGGGCGCAGGCCCCCAGGGCCCCACGCTCTCCGCTGACCGCGCCCCGATGCTCTCTCCGCAGGCCAGCACCTCAGCGAGGACTTTGCCCTGGTGAACCCCGCCCAGAAGGTGCCCGCCCTGAAGGATGGCGACTTCACCTTGACCGAGAGGTAACGGGGGCCCGGGGCTGCTCCCGGACCTCACCGGGACCATCTTGTCCCAACCCTCTATTTTATCTTTATTTATTTATTTAAAAATATATTTTATTGATTTTTTACAGAGAGGAAGGGAGAGGGACAGAGAGCTAGAAACATCGATGAGAGAGAAACATTGACCAGCTGCCTCCTGCACACCCCCTACCGGGGATGTGCCCGCAACCAAGGTCCATGTCCTTGACCAGAATCGAACCCGGGACCTTTCAGTCCTCAGACCGACATTCTATCCACTGAGCCGAACCGGTTTCGGCTTTATCTTTATTTTTTAAAATATATTTTTTATTGATTTCAGAGAGGAAGGGAGGAGAGGGAGACAGAAACATCATTGATGAGATTGGCTGCCTCCTGCACGTCCTCTGCTGGGGATGGAGCCTGCAATCCGGGCCTGCGCTCTGACCGGAATTGAACCGTGAGCTCCTGGGTCATCGGCCAATGTTCTACCCGTTGAGCCAAAACAGCTGGGACAGAACTGAGCTTCTTTAATGCTCCGCTTGACGGCCCGCTTCTCCAGGAGACGCTCCCTGGCTCTCCCATCGGACGGGCTCTGAGCACGTGGCCGGACTCTGTGCGGGCGGTTGGTCGCCTGGGGGAGGATCAGCTGGGGCGCGAGTCTTAGCGAGAACTGCGGGCTCTGCTCCACCAGAAGCTGTGTGTCCAGGGCAAGTCCCTTCACTGCTCCAGGCCTGGCTTCCTGGTCTGGGAAATGAGGCAAATCCCTTGGCACATTGGCAGGGAGATTGAAGAAAGGATCTGCATAAAGCTCCTAGCACAGCACCCTTCCTTTTCTTGTTTTTTTACAGAGAGGAAGGGAGAGGGATAGAGAGTTAGAAATATCGACGAGAGAGAAACCGACCAGCTGCCTCCTGCACACACACACACACACACACACACACACACTGGGAAAGGTACATGCCCTTGCCCGGAGTTGAACCTGGGACCCTTCAGTCCGCAGGCCGATGCTCTATCCACTGAGCCACACCGGTTAGGGCTTCTTCTGCTTTTAAATATATTTTTATTGACTTTAGAGAGGGAGGGAGAGGGAGAGAGAGAAACATCTGTGATGAGAGAGAATCATGGAGTGGCTGCGTCCTGCACGCTCCACACTGGGGATGGAGCCATGTGCCCTGACCAGGAATCGAACCCAGGGCCCGTCAGTCTGCAGGCTGACGCTCTGTCCGCTGAGCCACACCAGCTAGGGCCTCAGTGCCCTTTCTACACCCTTCATGTCCTCCCTCCCCTTGCAGTGTGGCCATCCTACTCTACCTGACCCGCAAGTTCCAGGTCCCTGACCACTGGTACCCTCAGGAGCTGCAGGCGCGTGCCCGCGTGGATGAGTACCTGTCCTGGCAGCACACGAACCTGCGGAGACACTGCCTCCGGGCCCTGTGGCATAAGGTGAGGTCCCGACGGGCAGTGAGGGCCCCACCTCAAGGCTCGGGCACCGTCACCTTCTCCTCTTCAGTTTGGGTAATTTCTACTGACCTGACTTGGACTTCACTCGTCCTTCCTTCTATTGTGCTCAGGATGCTGTTAAGCCCATCGAGTACATTAAAAAAAATTATTTATATAAAAATATAAATATATAATTTTAAAAAATTATATATATGTATATATTATTGATTTCAGAGAGGAAGGGAGAGAGAGAGAGAGAGAAACATCATTGATGAGAGAGAGTCATTGATCAGCTGCTTCTTGCACTCTCCCTACTGGGGATCGAGCCTGCAACCTGGGCATGTGCCCTGACTCAGATCGAACCCGGTATCTTTCAGTCTGCAGGCTGATGCTCTACCCACTGAGCCAGACTCACTTTTGTTATATACAAGCCATGGACTGCTATTCCCATATCATAGTTGGGGAAATCGAGGCTCAGGGGGTTTGCGTGTTGTGCTCTAGGTTCTGCAGTTTGTATGAGAGTGGAGACCTTAAAAGCCCACCCACCTGATTACTTGTACTGTCAGAGGGATTGCTTTTGTGTCAGGAGGAAAGAGGTTATAACATAGGTAGTTCCTGGGCCTGCTCCCTCCCCTTTACAAGGTGCAGAATCCCTTCGATCCATTCTTAAAGGGGTCTGAGTCCCGCAGAAGTCTCTGAGGCTCAGCCAATCAGAGCTCACGGCGGCAGCTTGGCGGGAATAGTTCAGTAGAGAGGGGTCCTTTGGGAGTTTCCTTGCAGGCCTTCCCAGGGTATGGAGCCAGGGAAGCAGTTCCAAAGCTGGGGGTCAAGGCTGCTTGCCTTCCTACCCCCAAGGCTGGGCCGACTCTAACCACCACCCCTCTCGCTCCCCTCGCTTTGCCTACCCACCCGCCAGATAATGTTCCCCGTCGTCCTGGGCGAGCCCGTATCTCCCGAGATCCTGGAAACCACCCTGGCAGAGCTGGATCTGACCCTGCAGATCCTGGAAGACAATTTCCTCCAGGACAAGGCCTTTCTGGTGGGGCCCCACATTTCCCTGGCCGACCTGGTAGCCATCACGGAGCTGATGCATGTGAGTTCGGCTGGGCGGGCCGCCGGAGTCCCCACCCCGGGGCTGGGACATGGAGCATATTGGAGGTCCCCTCTTCTGGAGCTATGTGGTCCCCAAACTGGGCAGGCGCTGCTTGGCCTCGCCCACCCACCCTTACTCCGCCCTGTCCCCCTCTCCCCGCAGCCCGTGAGTGCCGGCTGCCGGATCTATGACAGCCGACCCAAGCTGGCTGCATGGAGCCAGCGCGTGGAGGCCGAGGTGGGGCGGCCCCTTTTCCAAGAGGCCCATGAGGTCATCCTGAGGGCCGGCAACTTCCCCCCTGCAGACCCTTCCGTAAAGCAGAAGCTGCTGCCCAGGGTGATGGCCATGATAGGATGAGCCGGGAAGGTCTGCCCCCTCTGCGGCCCCCACCCCCACTCTGCCCTGGGCAGATCACAAGTGCATTCCTGACACCCCAGAGAGCAGGAGCGGTTTGCCTGAATCCCATCACCCCTCAGGCCAGGTCCCTCCCCCACCCCATCTTCCACGCCGGCCACCTAACCTAAAAAGCGCTAGAGGAGGACAGCACACTCAGACCTGGTCTCCTTAATCACTCCTTTCCTTTGCAGTTTAGCAAATAAACCTGGGCTTAGCCTGAGCCGCCACTGCTAACCCTGCTGAGTGATTTATCCGACCTTTCTCCTGCCCTGGTCTTGGTCTCTGTCCAACAGAGGACCCTCCTCTGCAGGCCCGGTGGGTCAGCGTGTCTCTGCCGGTTGCCAAGAGTGACATTACCAACAGCCTCCTCGGGCCCTCCAATTCCCAGGGGAAGTCATTTCCCAGAAAGCATAGGGGTCAGCGAGCACCCCCCACCCCCACGTGTTGGCCGTCGGCATGGTGGTGGACCAGTTGGCTGGGCCGGCCTCCCGGGACGTTGCCCTTTGGCACCAAATAGTCTACGTCACGAGCCCTGCATCTGTCCCAAGGAATCGGTCCGGGGAGGGCAAAATCTGAATCGCAACCCTCCTGGTGGCTGCCGGTCCAGAGTCCGCGCGCCTGACGCCTCCAAAGGCCCACACTCAAAGTTGGTTGGAGTTTGGGGTTCGGGGAAGGCTCTGCTGAGAACAGGGGAGCCTGCGTGGTTCCCCGAGTCCATCTTGCCCGCGGGCAGAACTCAGGCTTCTCTCATACCCAGAAAAGGGGACACGGGGGAAGCTGTCTCTGCAGAACTCACGCCTCAGGCAGAATTCCTCTGGCGGCTGGCCTGGCCTGTCTACACGCAAGACTGGGCAGACGGTGTCAGCCTGCAGGGCGGGGGCAAGGCAGGCCGGGACGACATGGAGTGTGAGAGAGAGACCGAGCATCTCACTCTGTTCCGCGGTCAGCACTCGGGCACTCAGCCTTCACTCCACGGCGAGGCCCGTGAGCCGTGAGCGGGAATGGTGTGCTCAGGCTGCATTTCAGAATATTCTGGCTGCTGGGAGAGGGGGTGCGGACTGGAAGGTGGCCACGGAGGAGGCAGGGAGATTGGATATTGCAGTGACCCAGTCAAAGGTGACTGGTGGAGAGGGGTGGACCCCGATGGGGGTGGAGGACAGGCCCCTCCCAGCCTGGAAGAGGGGATAGGGCTTCCTTAACTGGGGAGCTTGGGGGACCCGGGAGGCCAAGCTATTCTCAACATTTCCAGTGGTTGATCCTCCTCCCAGGTGGCTCTCTTGGATTTGGGGGCAGTCTTTTTCCCCCTCCTCCCCCCAATATATATATATTTTAAAATATATTGATTTTTTTTTTTTTTTTACATAGAGGAAGGGAGAGGGATAGAGAGCTAGAAACATCGATCAGCTGCCTCTTGCACACACACACCCCCCTCCCCCACTGGGGATGTGCCCGGAACCAAGGTACATGCCCTTGACCGGAATCGAACCTGGGACCCTTCAGTCCACAGGCTGACGCTCTATCCGCTGAGCCAAACCGGTTTTGGCCCCCCAAAATACTTTTATTGACTTCAGAGAGGAAGGGAGAGGGAGAGAGAAAGAAGCATTGATCAGCTGCCTCCTGCACACACTCCACGGAGGATGGAGCCCACAACCCGGGCCTGTGCCCTGACGGGGAATCGAACCGTGACCTCCGGCTTCACAGGTCACGGGTCAGCCACGGAGCCACGCGGGCGGGCGGGCGGGCGTCTCCTTAACCCGGAGGGGCTTAGAGAACCGCCGTTACAGCCATGGGCCTGAGGCGCTGGGGGTCACGGGGGAGGCCTGGGCCCCCTGCAAACCCTGCACGAACCCACAGGGCTCCTGCCTCCGGAGGGATGAGCTGGAGGGTAAGAAGGCACCGCTAATCCTCGGAATGGGGGCTAGGCCTCTGCAGAGAGCAGGCCCGCCCGCCCCAGCTGCCCCCTGGCACTGCGCCCCCTTTTCTCTCCTCCCTGGTGTTCTCAGCGACCCTGACTCCCTTCCTCTCTCGGCCTCCCCCGGGCCCGGGGTCAGTGCTGGGGGGCCCTTCGCGTCCCGTTTCCCATATCACCCCTCTGCCCCCTGTCCGTCTGAAGGTCCAGAGAAGGGGGTGACCCGGGCCGGGCCCCCAGCTCAGACCCCCCGGGGAGAAGTGGGAGATGCGGCGCCGCTGATTGGCCCGCAGCCAGCCAATGGGCGCGGGGGCGTGGCGGGCGCGGGCGCCGGCGGCTCCGGCGGTTGCAGCCGGTGGTCCTGGTCCCGCCCGGCCTCCCGGGTCCGCCTGCCCCTCTGCGGTCCGCGCCGCCATGGGCCTGGAGCTCTACCTGGACCTGCTGTCGCAGCCCTGCCGCGCCGTCTACATCTTCGCCAAGAAGATCGGCGTCCCCTTCGAGCTGCGCATCGTGGAGCTGCTCAAAGGTGACAAGGGAGGTCCCGGTTCGATTCCTGGTCCGGCTCAATGGCGGGGCGGCGGTGTGTGTGTGTGTGTGTGGAGGGGAGGGGGCGGGGCGGAGTGTAAGAAGCAGCTGGTCGATGATTCGCTCTCATCATCGATGTTCCTCCCTTCCTGAAATCAATTAAAAAATATAAAATATATATAAATAAATAAATAAATATATATATATATATATATATATATATATATATATATATATAAAAGCCGAGACCGGTGTGGCTCAGTGGATAGAGTGTCGGCCTGCGGACTGAAGGGTCCCGGGTTTGATTTCGGTCAAGGGCATGTGCCTTGGTTGCGGGCGCTTCCCCAGTGGGAGGTGTGCAGGAGGCAGCTGATCGATGACTCTCTCATCGATGTTTCTAACTCTCTCTCTCCCTTCCTCTCTGTAAAAAATCAATAAAATATATTACAGAGAGAGAGAGAGAGAGAGAGATCCTGATGTGGGTGGGCGTGGCCAGAGGCCTCGCGGACTCAGGGTTCTGCCCGCTGCCTCCCGCTCTCTCCGCAGGTCAGCACTGCAGCCAGGAATTCATCCAGGTGAACCCCCTGCGGAAGGTGCCCGTCTTGAAGGATGGGGACTTCACCCTGGCCGAGAGGTGCATGGCCGTGGGGGGCTGGCCAGCCCCTGTGTGCCCACTGCCGATAGCCTGGGACAACTGTGCCAGCACCAGGGTGGAGAGATGCCAGGGCTGGGAGGGCGCCTGGCATTGCTCCTGTTGTGTCCATGCTTTGACTCTGTTGGGGAGTGGTACTGGGTGCTGGGCGCTGGGCGCTGGGTGAGTTGCTCTCACCCTTTGTGCCCATCTGGATGCCCCCGTTTTGGGGGAAGCTTTCTCTGAGCACACCCCCCCCCCTTCTGAAATCCCCTAGCGTTTTTGTTTTTTTACTTTGTGCCCTTTGTTCAGAGGATGGGGTTGCTCAGCGTAGCGCTGTGTGACCTGGGGAAATTACCTAACCTCTCTGAGCCTCACATTCCCACTCTGCACCATGGGGATGGGGAAACACATGCCAGGAGCCGAGGCCTGTCCCATCCAGGGCCTGGCCCCGGGAGAGGAGCAGAAGAGTAACTGGGACGCCTCCCCGCCCCTGCTGTCCCTCCCAGCGTGGCCATCCTGCTGTATCTCAGCCGGAAGTATGAGGCCCCTGACCACTGGTACCCCCAGGACCTGCAGGCCTGCGCCCGTGTGGACGAGTACTTGGCATGGCAGCACACATCTCTGCGGAGAAGCTGCTCCATGGTCCTGTGGCAGAAGGTGAGCCTGGGGCAGGGACCCTCCCTGGGTCCTCAGGGGATGGTGCCTTCTGTTTATTTTAAAAATATATTTTATTGTTTTTTTACAGAGAGGAAGGGAGAGGGACAGAGAGCTAGAAACATCAATGAGAGAGAAACATCAATCAGCTGCCTCCTGCACACCACCCACCGGGGATGTGACCCCAACCAAGGCCCATGCCCTTGACCGGAATCGAACCCGGGACCTTTCAGTCCACAGGCCGACGCTCTATCCACTGAGCCAAACCAGTTTCGGTGGCGCCTTCTGTTTAAAACATCCTGTTCAGCCCGGCCGACGTGGCTCAACATTGACCTATGAATCAGGAGCTCACGGTTCGATTCCTGGTCAGGGCCCAGGCCCAGGATGTGGGCTCCATCCCCAGTGAGGGGGCGTGCACGAGGCAACCAAACCTTGATTCTCTCTCATCATGGATGTTACTCTCTAATCCCTTCTCCCTTCCTCTGAAATCGATAAAGATATATTTAAGAAAAGGAGTCCTCAGTGAGCTCCTGGGGCTGGGAGAGGAGCCCACTCAAGCCAGAGCGGGCCGGAGCCTTTCTGTGCAGAACGGGGAGAGGTCAATGAGCGAGTGTAGACCTTTGCTCCTCAGAAGGCTGGTCCGCAGCCCAGGAGCACCAGCATCGCCTGGGAGCTCACTGGCCGTGCCGAGTCTCAGGCTGCACCGAGCACACTGGTCAGGAATGAGCTCTGAGCCATAGCCAGAGCGAGCGCCAGGCGCCCTGCCATGTCAGGAGTCCGGGCGGGGAGGAGGTGGAGGTGAGGGAGTGGTGGCGGCTGCGCTGCTGAGGCCTTTGTGGGGAGGGCAGTGGGAGCCACAGCAGGCTCGATGCAGCGAGAAGGGGCGGGCAGCCTGGGGTTGCAGAGGGCCCTGCCAGCGGCTCTGTGAGCATCCAGGGAGGGCGGAGGCTGGCCCCGTGTGAGGGGGGAAATGAGGCCTGGGCACGGGGTGGTGGTTATGGGTGGAGGGGGACGGCGGGAGGAAGGAGAAGCTAGGCTGGGCTTGGGGCAGATCCCCAGCCCTCCTCCTGCCCCCCGCCAGATGATGCTCCCTCAGTTCCTTGGCGAACGGGTGCCCCCCGAGGCACTGGCATCTACTATGGCCGAGCTGGAGAGGTGCCTGCAGCTGCTGGAGGACAAGTTCCTTAAGGACGATGACTTCCTGGCAGGTCCCCGCATCTCGGTGGCAGACTTGGTGGCCATCACCGAGCTGATGCATGTGAGTGTGGGGGGAGTGCCCAGGAGGGAGCCAGTTTTCTAGCTCATGCTGCCCTTCCCGGCTGGGGACCCAGGGCGTGTGCTTCCTTCTCTACGCCTCAGTCTCCGCATCTGTGAAATGGGGCTTTAAAAGCCCACCCTGCAGGGACATCGAGGGCTTTCTCAGTGTCTCCTGGGAGGGGACCCCAGTCTATCACGCATGGGGCAGAGGAGGGAACGTCCCCCTTAGAGGGGTCCCTAAGCCGGATCACGCAGTCTTACAGCTCCCTCTCCCCACAGCCGGTCAGCGCTGGCTGCTCTGTCTTCCAGACCCGCCCCAAGCTGGCTGCCTGGCAGCAGCGCGTGGAGGAGGAGGTCGGGACGGGCCTCTTCCAGGAGGCCCACGAGGTGGTCCTGAAGGCCAAGGACCTGCCGCCAGTGGACATCGCCATGAAGGACCAGCTGAAGCCCCTGGTGGAGGTTTTGTTGTAGTGAGGAGGGGCGGGCCTGCCGCCGAGGATGGAGACTGTCGTCAAAATAAAGATATGGCATTGCCTCTCTCCTTGGCTCTAAGCAAGACACTCCGAAGTCTCTGTTCTCGAGGTCCCGCCATGCATCAGCCCCACGTTCCTCCTTTTGTCTGTCTTCTTACTCCACTCTTGCCCCTTCCACTCCAATTTGCTAGAGACCTCTGGAATAAGCTTTACTTACTATTTTTTAAAAAAAATATTTTTACGGATTGCAGAGAGGAAGGGAGAGGGAGAAACGTCAATGATGAGAACCATGAATGGGCTGCCTCCTGCACGCCCCCACTGGGCTCAAGCCAGCAACCCGGGCACGTGCTCTTGACCGGAAATTGAATCATGATCTCTTGGTTCATAAATCGGCTCTCTAACTAGTCGGGCTCAGTTATATTTTCGAAACATTGATGATAGTACCTGGTTAGTCACGCCAACAGATGTCCATGTTTTACAGAACACCCTTTGTTTTGCCTATAAAACATAAGATACTGTAGCCCTGGCCACGGTACCATTCCCAGCCTGGTCACATGCCCAGGTTGTGGGTCCCATTCCTGGTCAGGTGCGTGCGGGAGGCAACCAATGTTTCCCTCGCACACTGGCATTTCTCTCTAAAAAAGCATGTCGTAGCTGGGTGAGAATGAAGAAGGAACCGTAAACATTGCTGGTAATTCTCCCGGGATCCGGCTCCCACCCCCTGCTGGACGGTTCCTCACCGCGGCAAAGCTGCTACACACTGCCCGATGGCCCCGCCAGGCAGGGACTCCCTGAACCGGAGCCTCCTGACCCAGCGCCACGTGTCACCCCACGTGTCACCGGGTCTCCTGACCACGAGCGGTGCAAGTTCTCATACTGAGCATGAAGTGGTGGCAATGCATTAACAAATTTTATTTTTATTTATTTAGAAATGTATTTTATTGATTTTTTACAGAGAGGAAGGGAGAGAGAGTTAGAAACATTGCATGTGAGAGAATCATCAATCTGCTGCCTCTTGCACACCCCCTACTGAGGAATTGCCTGCAACCAAGGTACATGCCCTTGACCGGAATCAAACCCGGGACCCTTCGGTCCCCCCCACCCCCTCCCCTCCCCTCCCCCCCACTGAGCCACACCGGTTTTGGCTACATTAACAACTTTTAAATTCTCAGCGTTATCAGGGTTGATCCTGGGGAAAGCCCCTACAGGTGTGTGGGGGGGAGGGGGGCTGTGGTGGTGCTCAGCCCTCCATCTACTAGGAAATGGTAGAGATGCATTTATTAATGGCAGAACCGGAAATGGAAAGAGGAGGCCCGTGCAGCGGGAGGGGGCGGGGCGGTGGGCGGGGCCTGGCCATGATTCTGCCAATGACTCTGGCAGTGGAGTGATACCGGAGAGGGCCGGGCAGTTTGACCTCCCAAGCCGGGCTGCTGGGCTCAGTGGGTGACCCTTCCCTGTGAACCTGGAGTCACCGTTGGGCTCACGGTCAGGGCACAGGCCCGGGTGCGGGCTCGATCCCCAGTAGAGCCCAATGCAGGAGGCAGCTGACCCATGACTCCCATCATCGATGTTTCTCTCTCCCTATCTGAAATCAAGAGATCAACCTATTTTTATTTTTTAAAATATATTCTATTGATTTTTTACAGAGGAAGGGAGAGAGGAAGGGAGAGAGATAGAGAATTAAAAACATTGATGAGAGAGAGTCATGGATCAGCTGCCTCTTGCACGCCCCCTACAAGCCCTTGTCAGGAATCAAACCCGGGACCCTTCCGTCTGAGGCTCTATCCACTGAGCCAAACCGGTTTCGGCAAGACCAACCTATTTTTTTTAAAAAATACTTTAAAAAGGACTTCCGGCCGAAACCGGTTTGGCTCAGTGGATAGAGCTTCGGCCTGCAGAGTGAAAGGTCCCAGGTTCGATTCCGGTCAAGGGTATGTACCTTGGTTGCGGGCACATCCCCAGTGGGGGGTGTGCAAGAGGCAGCTGATCGATGATTCTCTCTCATCGATGTTTCTAACTCTCTATCCCTCTCTCTTCCACTCTGTAAAAAAAATCAATAAAATATATATAAATTAAAAAAAAAAAAGGACTTCCGGAAATCTGGGCCAGAGTCCACAAAGGTTTTTTTTTTTTTTGCTGAGGCGGGCGGTGCAGCCTAGGCAGCCAATGGGGAGGCGCTGCGTGCCCGCCGAGCCAATGAGGAGCCAGCTCCCCGGCGCCCCGCCCCCGCCCCGCCCCGCCTCCCAGCCGGGGCCTGGGGACCGCCCCGCGGGCCGCTCAGCCTCGCCCGCCGGCGCCGCGCACCCGTCCCCGCTCGCCATGCCCTTCCTGGAGCTGGACACCAACCTGCCCGCCGCCCGCGTGCCCGCGGGGCTGGAGAAGCGGCTCTGCGCGGCCGCCGCCGCCATCCTGGCCAAGCCCGAGGACGTGAGCGTGGGCCGGGCGCCCGGGCTGGGGACTCCCCCGTAGCGACCCCGCCTCCCAGGGACCCCCCCCCCGGAGCGCTGAGCTCCCGCTCTGCACGCCCTCGCGGCCCCCTGTACCCCCCCCCGCCCCCGTCTGCTCACTGTCGCCCTCCCCAGCCGTGACACCGACGTGACCTCGTGACCTCCGAGGGCCTCGGCCCGAACCCCCTGCCCTGACCCCGCGGGATGCGCCCCGCGAGCCCGGCCCGCGCCGCGGGCGCCGGGAGAAACCCTCTCGTGTCCCCCGCAGCGCGTGAACGCGACGGTGCGGCCCGGCCTGGCCATGGCGGTGGGCGGCTCGGCCGAGCCCTGCGCGCAGCTGACGGTCTCCTCCATCGGCGTGGTGGGCACGGCGGAGCAGAACCGGGACCACAGCGCCCGATTCTTCGAGTTCCTCACGAAGGAGCTGTCGCTGGGCCAGGACCGGTGCGTAGGGGCCGGGAGCCGTCACACTCGGGGGGACTGTGACCCACGGAGGGCCCCTCCTAAGGGGGGCGGTGTGTGTGTGTGTGTGGGGGGCCCACAAGCAAATGCCTCACCTTGCCCAGAAAGGGGTAGTGTCTGGGGCTCCCTGTGTGGGCCCCCTTTGGAGAGTAGGGGGAACGGAAGGAAGTTCTGGCTGAGTGAGCGCTGGGTGAGCAGCCACCATCCCGCCCCTGTGGAGGGAGAACATGATGGGGCGGGCAGCTTGCAGCATCTACCTGGGGGCTAGGGCAGCCTGGCGGGGGGGGACCCCCGGGGTGGGGTGCCTGGCCAGGGGAGGGGTCTTGGAATATGAGGCCTTGGCCAAGGAGCTGATGACATCTCTTTGCTCTGTCCCCTGAAGGATACTTATCCGCTTTTTCCCCCTGGAGCCCTGGCAGATTGGCAAGAAGGGGACGGTGATGACGTTTTTGTGATCGGCACAGAGTGCATCGGGGCATCGGTGAGCTGGCCGCCTCTTCCCGAGAGGCCTCCTGGCCAGAGGGAGGGCCTGCTGGCTACCAGCTTCCGGCACCCCCACCCGCAGCTGTGCCTGTGACCTCACAATCCTCTCCTTCCCCAACCTCCTGCCAAATAAAGGAAGAGAGCTTCGTCTTTCAAACATGGCTTCCTTTCCTGACCAAGGCCTTCTGTTCATTCAGAGCAGTGGGGTGGGCTTAGGCGATGGGGTGGTTTCTACCGTCAGGATCGCTGTTTCATGGATTGTACGTAGGCTGCTCCAATTGGAAGATGGGACCTAGCCGGTTTGGCTCAGTGGATAGAACGTCAGCCTGTGGACTGAAGGGTCCCAGGTTCGATTCTGGTCAAGGGCACATGCCTGGTTGCTGGCTCCATCCCCAGTATGGGGCGTGCTGGAGGTAGCCAATCAATGATTCTCATCATTGATGTTTCTCTCCGTCTTCCTTCCTCTCTGAAATCTCTCTCTATATATAAAGCTAGAGCTTGGAGTTCCTTCCCTTAGCAACCTGTCCAGCTGTTTCTGGACTCAGTCCTTCTACCTGCAAGGGATTCTTGCTTCCCAGATGGGTTCAGGGAACACAGGTTGAGTGTGAGTGAATGAGTGACGTGCCCAAGGAGGGATTCAGGCCTAACCCTTGTCGGGACCATAAGGCTGAAACAGCAGCCTCCTATTTGGTCTCCCCACCTTTAATCTCTTAGCACCACTCTGGTGAGAGTGATGTCATCTGTTTTCTGCAGGGGGTGGGGTGGGGGGTGTGTGTGTGGGACTGGCTCCTTCCCCTTCTCCAGCAAGATTGCATATCCCTACCTGGTTTGGCTCAGTGGATGGAGCATTGACCTGCGGACTAAAGGGTACCAGGTTCAACTGGGTTGCTGGCTCAATCCCCAGTGGGGGGCGTGGAGGAGGCAGCCAATCCATGATTCTCTCTCATCATTGTTTTTCCCTCTTCCTTCCTCTCTGAAATTAAGAAAATTTTTTAAAAAAAATTTTAAAAGAATGCATAAACAAGTGGAACAACAAAGGGATGTTTCTCTCTGCCCTCTAAAATCAATCAATAAAGACATTTTTGAAAAAGGTTCTTGACTTCATTATTTTTGTAAATCCTGGATATCAGTAAATCTTTATTGTACTGAACTGACTCTGAATTCCTCATGCCGTTACTGTCTGGGTGTCGAAGAGGAAGCCTGGCGTTCGTTCCTGTGTAAGTAATTCTTGCTGGACTCATAGGGCTGTGCATTTCAACCAGCGTGAAGCCCTCCCAACACGCTCAGCTCCTCTCAGCCCGAGAAATTGTCAGGCGCCCTTCCACCTGGACCCTCTTTGGGCTCTGAAATTCTGTGACTCCCTCCCTGGCTGCTCCTTTACCGGCTCTTGGTTTCTTTTTTTCCTTCTGCTTCAATAGTTGATCTATTTTGGGGGCTTCCGCTCCTTTTCAGAAGAGAGGACAGGTAAGGGGAATGCGGGTCCTCCCCTGGCTCCTTCATAAGTGTTCCAAGTTTCTGTTGCTTTCGTTTTATTTTATTATTTTATTTTTATTTCCGAGAGGAAGGAAGAGGGGGAGGAGAGAGAGAGAAACATCAACGATAAGAGAAGCATGGATCCGCTGCATCCTGCACACCTCCTACCGGGTCCGAGCCCGCAACCCGGGCCTGTGCCCTGGCCGGGGATCGAACCACCGTGACCTCCTGGTTCCTAGGTGGGCGCTTCACCACGGAACCGCACTCAGAACACCTGCCCCAGGTGGTAGCAGGAACACCGCCCGCCACTTAGCGACCGCCGGGGCCAGGCCCCGAGTCCGGCGCCTCCAAGTTTTTGCAAATGGTGGCGCCGAGCGTCCCTCGCCAAAAGGCGACCCGGGAGCTGCGAGCGCCGCCGCCGCCGCCGCCGCCGCCTGCCGGCTTTTAACCAGCCCGTCGGCGGGCGCGCGGCGCGGGCGCCCTCGCTGATTGGCTGGCCGAGCCGGCGGCGCAGCCAATGGGCGCGCCCCTTGTTGTCAGGCGCGCGCGAGCGGCTGGCCGGCGCGGGGGTCCTGGCGGAGAGGCGGTTGCCGTGGAGACGCCGGGTGAATTCTCAGGCGGCGCGTTTCGGGGCGGCCCCGGGGGTGGGGTGCGGCTCTCCGGAGCCGAGGGCGGCGGCGGCGGAGGCGCGACCCTGAGGGGCGGCGGCGGCGGCGAGGGGCTCGCGGGCAGCCCCGGTGCCCCCCTCAGCGGAGGAAGCAGAGGCCGGAGCTGTCGGCTGCCTCGCGGGCCGGGTCCCGGCTCTGGCCGCCGCCCTGAGGGGCCTCGGACGGGCTCCGGCCGCGGGAGTGGTTCCCTTGGCACAGCCGGCGCCACCATTGATTCTGCGTCCGCGGGGGCCCAGCCCGGCGCTGAGGAGCCCCCGGCCGGCGTCCTCTCCCCCCGGCGCCGCCCGCGAGGTGAGTGCTGTCCGCGCCGCAGGCGGGTGGGAACTGAGGCCGGCGGGGGGCGCTCCGTGTCCGCGCCGCTGGCCGGGCAGCCGCTGCACGCCCGGCGGCCGGGGCCCCTGCAGGTCACCGCGGGCGGCCGCCACCGAACTATCCTGAGAGAACGGTTTCCTTGGAGGTTGGCACGCTTTCGTGGCAAATATAAAGATATCCTGAATAGATGGTCCCATTCCGAGCATTTCCTACAAATGCGGGCACAGGCCACGTGGCCCGAGACCGGCTTTCTTTCAGCGAGTTTAAAATATATATAGTTATTATTGATTTTTTACAGAGAGGAAGGGAGGGAGAGAGAGAGAGAGCCAGAAACATCGATGAGAGAGAAACATGGACCAGCCGCCTCCTGCACACCCCCCACCCGGGGATGTGCCCGCAACCAACGTACATGCCCTTGACCGGAATCGAACCCGGGACCTTTCAGTTCGCAGACCGAGGCTCTATCCACTGAGCCACACCGGTTTCGGCCTTTCAGCGAGTTTAATGCTTTCTTGGCTTCACCCGCGGCATCCGTCGTTTGGATAGACCACGTGTTCCTTGATCTCTAGTCGTCATTTGACATTAGGTTTGTTTCCACGTTTCGGTTCTTATGAATAATGCTGCTATTCGCATGCCCTCATTCATTTTTTTTCAAAAAATATTTTTACTGATTTCAGAGAGGAAGAGAGAAAGGGAGAGAAACATCAGTGATGAGAGAATAACTGATGGGCTGCCTCCTGCACGCCCCCTATTGGGGGTGGAGCTCGCCATCCGGTCAGATCCCCTGACCGGAATCGAACCCTGGACCGCCTAGGGCCTCCTTAATTTTCACACTAGTAGTAGCATCTCTGACGTCATGCTGTGGCTGTAGTCTAGGGCCGTGGTCGGCAAACTGCGGCTCGCGAGCCACGTGCGGCTCTCTTTGGCCCCTTGAGTGTGGCTCTTCCACAAAAGACCACGGCCCCGGCGAGTCTGTGTTGAAGAAGTGGCGTTGGAAGACGTTTCAGTTTGAAAAATGTGGCTCTCCAAAGACATGTCTGTCGTCGTGCTGTTGGTATTTGGCTCCGTGGACTAGTGAGTTTGCCGACCACGGGCCTAGGGAAAGCGTCCACTCCGCCAGCTGTGGCCCTTGAGGTCGTCTTGCAGTGACAGTGGTGCAGTGCGCACGCCATTTGCATTTCCCCGCTGCTGGAGGCGCATCTTCAGGGAGAGGGATGGCTGGGTTGGAGGCTGCTTTTGTGATTTTGTCAGGTTCCCCCTCCAGAGGGCTTGGACCGAGTTGCATTCCACCCACGGGGAGAGAGCGAGCCCCGCTTCCCCGCAGCCTCCCCAGCAGAGGGCGCTGCTGCCCTGGGAGGGATGAGGGGTGTCCCGGTGCTGGTTACAGTTTTATTTCTCTAGTTAATGTGTACGTTTGAACAGATCTTCTTCTGTTTGAGAGCTGGTTGTATGTCCTTTTTGGTGCATTGTTTACTAATACATTTTCCCCATGTTTCTATCAGGTTTTTGTTTGTCTTCCCTCAGGCTCTTCCCGCCCCACCCCCCCAAAAAAATTGTGGTAAAGTGCCGAAACCGGTTTGGCTCAGTGGTAGAGCATTGGTCTGCGGACTGAAAGGTCCCAGGTTCCATTCCGGTCAGGGGCATGTATGTACATTGGTTGCATTGGTTGCAGGCACATCCCCGGTAGGGGGTGTGCAAGAGGCAGCTGGTCGATGTTTCTCTCTCATTGACGTTTCTAGCTCTCTATCCCTCTCTCCTCCTCTCTGTAAAAAAATCAATTAAAAAAATATATATATATTCAAAATTGTGGTAAATATGCCGGGCCGATGTGGCCCAGTGGTTGAGCGTGGACTCATTGATACAGGAGGTCAGGGTTCCATTCCTGGTCAGATCAGGGCACATGCCCAGGCTTCAAGCTTAGTGCCCAGTAGGGGGCGTGCAGGCGGCAGCCAATCAATGAGTCTCATCATTGATGTTTCTCTCCTCCCTTCCTCTCTCTGAAATTAATAAAAACATATTTTTTTAAATTGCGGTAAAGTATGCTTAACTTGAAATGTGCCATTTTAACTATTTTCTAAGCACAGCTCCGTGGTATTAAGCACCTCCACCCTGTCGTGCCGCCGCCGCCACCACCATCAATCTCCTGAGCTTTATCTTCCGAAATGAAAACTGTCCCCGTTAGACACTGACTCCCATCCTTCCTTCTCCAGCCCCTGGCAACCACCGTTCTACTTTCTGTCGTTATGAATTTGCCTATTCTAAGTGCCTCATGTAAATAGATTAGTATAATTTTGTCTTTTTGTGAATGGCTTATTTCACTTAACATAATGAAAGTTTCATCCATGTTGTAGCATATGTCAGAATGTGTTTCCTTTTTAAGGTTGAGTAATATTTTATTTATCCATTCACCTGTCAGTAGACACTTGGTTGCTTTAACCTCTTGGCTATTGTGAATAATGTCGGGTTTCTAAGTTTTTAAGAGCTCTTCATGTATTAGGAACATTAGCTCTTTGTCTGTG